AATATTCCTTAAAATTTGAAATTAATATTTGAAAAAAGATTTTTTCAGAAAAATACATTTTTAAAGCATATTCATATTGTTTGTGTATATGCATATTTTAAAAAGCATATGCATATTCACATACATATTTAATAAATATATCTTTAATGCATCTCATATGAATATCCCATGATCGTAAATTCATAAGCCAAGACATGTGTATTCCCTTCAACATAATAACTACACAACTCAACAAAGTCGTCATGCTTGAGTGTTGAAACCATTGAAACCTTGAATCAAAAGAAAAACATTATTCATAAAGAGTAATGCAAGAAATAGCAATATACTTTCATATAACATTGATTAGGTAGATTTTTCAATGTATAATTTTGTTATAGTAAGAAATGAAATTAGAAAAGGATATTCTAAGCAGATAAGTTGACTTTACATGAGTCAAAAACTCTGAATTTGATTCAGCATCTGGAGAAAAATCAAGTTTTTTTTTTCACAACAAGCTTCGACTGAGTATATATTCCCGCATTGATGCCAATGTTATCTTGGGTTGGTCCTAACAAATCACCAGAATATTAGTCCAATTATTTGGAATTGAACAATATAACACAATAAATCAATAAATATAATCTTATCAAAAATTTTGAAACGATGATGCAATTGCTTCCTTTCTTATATATCGAACACATTCCCTGATTTCAACATTTTTCTCCATTCACTTTCGTACACTGGTAATTAGCAGCCTCCATTCACTTTCTTGTATCGACCTCAAGATTGAAACTATAAATGCAAATTCATCCATGTTGCTGCAATTCTTTTGTTGTATTTTTTTGTAACTTTTGTAAGTTATATTTTACTTTATTCTGTGATATTTGTATTTAATAACAAGAAAATAAAAGTTGTAGCTATGAACTTGTTTTTAATTTAATACTTTTAATATTTCAAATTATAGCATTTATCATTTATTATGGTTTTTGTAGCTACCTTTAAATCTGGCAAATGGTGTTATGTGTCTGTGTAATGTGCATAGATGAAAAACAATGTGCATGTAAATAAATATATGTAATATAAATGCAAAAAAAAAGGTGCATGTAGATATGCACTTTTTTTTAAATGTATATATGTACAAAAAAATACGCATTAATAATGTTTTTTTTTTGAAAAATTCCTTTTATAAATCTTAGTTTTGAAATATAAGGTATATTTTTACTTATTTGAAAAAAAGTAATTTTTTATATTTTTTTAAAACAAAGAAAATGTTTATTACATTTCAAATTTAACATTTAAAAAAAGAATTTTTCAAAAAAAATATACATTTTTAATGCATATTCATATTTTTTTATATATATACATATTTTAAAAAAAACATATGCATATGCAGATGGACATTTTTAAAGAACATTTTAAGAGTAACGATATATATGCATATGCAATTATGCATATGAATACATCATATACATATGCATAAAAATAAGTATACACATAATGCAATTAAATAAATATGATTATTATGCGTATGCATATGCATATGAATTACTATATGCATATTTATAAGTATATATGCATATGCATAATATTAATTATATGTATATACATATGCATAATAATAATTATATGTATATTCATATGCATAATAATAAGTATATGCATATAAATAAGATATTCATTATAATAAGTATATGCATAATAATAAGTATATGCATATGCATAAGAATAAATATATGTATATGCATATGAATAAGTATATGAATATACATATGCATAAGAATAAGTATATGCATATGCATATAAATAAGTATATGCGTATGCATATAAATAAGTATTTTCATATACATAAAAATAAGTATATGGATATGCATATGCATAAGAATAAATATGTATATGCATATGCATAGTTATATGAATAAGTATATGCATATGCATATGCATAGTTATATGAATAAGTATATGCATATTCATATGCATATGAATAAGTATATGAATATGCATATGCATAAGAATAACTATATGACATATGCATATATGCATATACATATGCATATGCATATTCATATACTTATTCATATGCATATGTATATGAATAAGTATATGATTATGCATATGCATAAGAATAAATATATGACATATACATATACATACACATATGCATATACATACGCATATATATGCATATACATACGTATATGCATATGTATACACATTGTTGCTAATTCATTTGAATGAGGTCAGACTTTAGTAAAAAGAAAATTTTTGATTTTACATTTTCATCTTCTATTTAAAAAACGGGAGACAATCTCACCAAACACATATAGATTTTGTTGTGAAAAAAATCACAACTTTGTTTGCATTACAAAAGAATTAAACAAAAAGCAAAAAATATAAACATAAAGGGGCAAGGGTATAATGGGAAAAAGATTAATAATCAACTTCTGTTTTATCAAATTACCTAGATAAAGATTAATAATCAAAACTCAAAGTAGCTAAATCCCGACTAAATTTCATATGAAAATTAAACCAATATTTTGACAGTTGAGAACAATAAATAAGAAGAATAATTGAAGCCACTTATTCTTCTTAAATAAAACATACCTTTTCTATGTAATCAATCATCATATTGTCTGTTATTTTGTTTCCTTGTTGGTCAGTCACATGAAACACTATAGAAGAAAAATAGTAAGAACTTATAACTAAACTCGTATTTTTATTTAATATATTTATGTTCACATAATAAATATAAGCATACCATCCATGAACTATTCACCATCGGAGTAGATGTAAGCTTTAGTAATAATAAGATCGAGGTCTGCTAAGATTTGGACCACTTCCAATAGTATTCATTCTTTCATCTTTCCCAACAGAGCTACAAAAGTTAAGAATTTTGAAGTTGGTGATTCTAATAAAAGAAAATGCAAACATGGTAAAGGAAAAAAACATAGAAATTTAGGCAAAAATATTGAAGAGAGAAAAGAAAATTGTGACATAAATAAACAAAATAGTATTGGATGAGATTTTGATTGTAATATATTATTATACTAGTTATGGTTTTTTATTATATATATATATATATATATATATATATATATATATATATATATATATATAAAAGATATGAAAGTTAGGAATAGTAAACTTCCTAATTGTTTGACAAGATTGGTCCCTAAAGTTATATATGTTTGCTCCTTTTTTTGTCAATTTTTTTTGTCTCTTTTGGTCCTCTAACTTATCTTGGTTTTAAAAAACTACTTACAACATTGACACTTCACCTTTATTGTTTACAAAGAACCCTTTCACTTTCGTTTGAATTTTTGATAACCCTCATTATTAGTATTTAGTCTTTTTGCATAAATGGATTATTATTATTATTATTATTATTATTATTATTAAATCGTATATTCGAATAATAAGTTAAAACAATTAAAAAAATTTCAAACCACAAAATCAATGTTAAATAAATAAAGCTAAGAATAAATACTAATATGATATATATATATATATATATATATATATATATATATATATATATATATATATATATATATATATATATAATTTCGATATTAATTTTAAAAAATAAAAATAATTTTATAAGAAATCTATACAAATTTTATTAAAACAAATAACAAATAAAATTGATATATAATAATAATAATAATAATAATAATAATAATAATAAATTGTTAAAAAAATAAAAATAGAAAAAAGAAGGGTAAACTAGTTTTTTATATGAAACATGTATCTAAACTGTAATATTCATAAACCATAGGGGATAGAACCTATCAAATTTTATATTTAATGACCAAAACTATGAATTTGGCCAAAACACAAGAACCGGTTCTATAATTTACTAAGGGAAAATGATTCTTGAGGGTAACTAAATTGTTGCGTTTGTTCTCATTTGGTCCATTTTTTTTGTACTCAATATACCATCAAATTTATTGTTTGTGTTCATCATAACCATTTTGACCAGCTTTTGACATGTGATAGTCAGTCAAAGTGAACACAAACAATAAATTCGATGGTATATTGAGTACACAAAAATGAAAGGGACCAAATGAAAACAAATGCGACAGTTGGGTACCCTCCTGATTTATTTTCCCTTTACTCATTTACAACAAATCTCACGTCATCTCCTACTGATATTAATGACTTTGTGAGATTCATTCTTGCTTCTCTTCAAAACACGAAAAAACATTATTCATACATGTATAACTTTGTAATGCAGTTGAATATTTATTAAGAGAATCTTGACTAAGCATGTGTATTTAATGACTACGTTTACATTTTCATTCAAATGATATCGTATCATGGATTCTAGACAAGTCTATAAACGAGTGGAATCACAAGTGCTGTGATTTTTTTATTTTGCTTGGCTTTAAGATTGAATTCATGTGATAAGATACAACATCAATATGTACAATATCATGCATCTTTTGTAGACATATCACCATAATATACCTTGAGGTAAACGTTTATACTAATAAATATACCTCTCATACACAATCATATCATTTTGCAGAGAGGTGTTGACAGTTAAACGCAATAAACATAGCATAGACCATGTTTTAACGAAGTTACCCCTCCGAAACGCTCTTCATATACGTTATGGTCAAAGAAGGTTACAATCTTTGATAATTTTGCAACTTTAATTTCATTTAACTTTTCGGGAAAAATGACTCAGGAGGGTAACTAACTGTTGAGTTTGTTCTCATTTGTTTTTTTTTTTTTTTAATTTTTATTTTTACTCAATATACCTTCAAATTTGTTGTTTGTATTCATCATAACCCTTTAACCGGTTATCATAGGTTAAAAACCGGTCAAAATGATTATGGTAAACACAAACAACAAGTACGATGATATATTAAGTAAAAAAAATTGATCAAATAAAACAATCACAACAGTTAATTATCCTTTTGAGTTATTTTTCCTTTACTATAAATCAATAACTTATTTTTGGATCATTTTATATATAATAAAAGAAGTGAGCAAAATAAATTTTAACCTTTTCAACTACACAAACTAAAATACATACATCTAGGTTTAAACAGCAATCTCAAAACACATCTAACGCTTTCATTCTGATAATCTGTTGACGGAACGTCAAAACCCTAAACCTTCATCGTCAAATCGGCTGTTTGCCTTTTCTCGACGACAATGGCTGTAAGTAACAATCTTCGAGCTTCTGAATTCAGTATCTCTTTTTTTTTTTTTTTTTTCCTTCTATTTCGTTCTTGTATCAAGATAATTAGACTGTTTCCAGTCTATGAGTAGATCGTTATCGTCTTCTTATCGCTCAAGTAGGGTATATTTGCTAGTTCGAAGAGATTTAGGCTAATTAAAGTGTTTGAATCTCTAGGAGTCAGTTTATGTTTATAAACCAGACTTTGTGGTTAAATGGGAGCGGATTGGGGGTTTTTGTGAAAACATTGACAAAAGTTTACCGGGTAATTGGGGGTTTTTTCATATTCTGTTCAGCAGTTATTTGCGTATTATGTACATTTGATTCAACTTTATCGCTTAGTTATTTCTGATTGTAGGGTTGTAGTTAGCATGTAGTTTTTTCATTTTACTCTCACTTTCATGTAGTTTTTTCTTTTGATTCTTGAACAGTTTGCAGATGATTTACTTTTTCTGAATGTATAGTTTTGTGATAGTAGTAAAGACTTTTGATGAAAATTTGGGAACTTAACTTAGTTGGTTATGCATTGCAGACTGTACCAGTTAATCCGAAACCTTTCTTGAACAACTTGACTGGGAAGCCAGTGATTGTGAAGCTCAAGTGGGGAATGGAGTACAAAGGTTATCTTGTCTCTGTTGATTCTTACATGAACTTGCAGGTATGATTAAACTTTTTGTTTCAACCTGTTATGTTCATTTGTGCATTTTTGTGCCTCTAATGTTGTTTAATGGCATCATCTTATTTTCCAGTTGGCCAACTCTGAAGAATACATTGATGGGCAGTTTACTGGTAACCTTGGAGAGATTCTAATCAGGTATGTAGAGGCATATGTAATAATGTTCTGTTTTGTGCATAGATTCTTGGCTAAAAAGATTTGTGTTTGATATGCAGATGTAATAATGTTCTGTATTTACGAGGCGTTCCAGAGGATGAAGAAATAGAGGAAGCAGATCGTGATTAGCTAGCAAGCAGGTGGATTGGATCATTAGATGTATTGTATTTTATTTTTATTTCTTCTGTTTTTGTATGGAAATATTTTGTGCTCCATATTCCCTACAACATTTAATCAGGTGTGGATGTGGGTGGATCCATGAATATATCAGACAATGTTTCACAAATCATTAAAAAATATTGTTGCATAAGGAAATATTTAATACAACAGTTTAAAATTTAACAAAGAAAATACTTTAACCATTTAAATTTTACTATAAAACATAGCGGGGTGAAAATATGTTCAATTTGTATGACCCATTACTAGATTCATATGAAATCCACAATGTCAGGCGATGAAAATATGTTCTTCATCCTTCACTACTATAAAAACCAAAATCCAAGATGGTATAACGATGAATAATTTACAAAACGAGTGAGTGGGTATTTTATAAAGTACTCGTTATAAAATAGAGATAATGTTATAAAATAGAGATAATGTTTATGTAGTATATGGAACTTGATTCAATGGCTTATTTGGTCCTTAAAGTTTTTTTTTTTTTTTTTTTTTTTTTTTTTTTTTTTTTTTTTTTTTTTTGTATATTAGGCCGATAAACTTGTAAGTGACATTTTAATTACACCATTTTATCAAGTTTTAGAAGGTTTCCCGGTTACAATGCTTATGTGGCACGTTGATGTGTCCAATAAGCTTACGTGGGAAGCTTATGTGTCGAAGAAGTCCAGTTGTCGATATAGGCTTATTAATTCAAACCCTCATTCGGACCTCCATTAAATCTTTACTTTTTCTTCTCTGAAAAGTCAAAGACTTCCCCCTCCTCGACTATTTCCGTCCTGAAGAAGAATGTCTTCGAGCTCATCGACATTAAGGAATCAGCTACAAGTCACTCATGTTCAGTCGCAAGACGGGGTAAAGGTTTGTGATTGTGTCGTTCTAGCTAAAGAACGAACCTGTTGGAAGATAACAAACCCTGGGAGGCGATTCTGGAATTATCAAAACAGTATGGTAGGTCCCGATTCTCTTGATTTTGATAAGTTAGTATTTTATGGTTTGATGTGTTGTTTCTTTCTGTAAAGACGATAATGGTGTATTTGTATTTTGTTTCATCTGTTAAAAACCATAATTTTATTTGCTTCTTGAGGATCACTGTGAATAAAACTCATTTCGTTGGTACATTAAAGGTAGCTAATTTGTGATTGTCAATCAAACCCTAATTTTATTGGCTTTTTATAGACTAGGTTGAGGAAATGTAGCTTCTTTGAATGGAAAGATGAAGAACAGGCAGACGGGTACTACAAAAACCTGTTATATTCTCTGAAGCAGAAATTGGATGCCAAAGAGGAACTGTCTGAGATGAACAAATTGAGGAGAAGGATTGCTGAAGTGGAGTTTCTACTGTCACAGGAGCAGTATAAGGTGGCAAAGAGTGAGAAAGAAGTTCATGATGCAAGGAAGGCAATAAGCAGGTACAGGATGATAGTTGCCCTGTTGTTTGCTTGCTTGGCCCTATGTGTTTTGAAGTTAGGGGGGGGGGGGTGATTGTAGTTAGTTAGGTTGGTTAGTGTAAGCTTTTGTTTTTTTGGGATCCCTTGTATTTTTTGTAAAGGCATACTAGAAAGTCAGTATTGATGGGCATTTTGTATGTATTGAAGCTACTTTTAGTTATAAATTGGGGTTATCAACCTTAATGTGTTGATGTTGTAAGGTGGTAAGTCTCTAATGAAAGGGCATATGATAAGTAATGTAAAAATAATTCAAAGTCCCAATTGTAGGGCATTTTGTATAATCAGATGTTGATTTTAATCAAACATATGCATGGCCTGTATTCCCAACAAATATATTTAATTAGATTCGTTGTTGTGCATGTTTTAAATTTGGGAACAAATTAGGAAGTGGTCCATGTGGAAGTACACTATGTGTATGGGGACCATTTGAAGTCAGTGGGTGTTTTAATAATGAAAAAATGGGACCTATGAAGCCATTATAGAACCATATCCGGGACCATATAAAACATCCCCATGCATGCACATTATTCAAATTTTTTCCATGCATAAATATTCAAAGCCAAATGTCATGATTTTACTTAAAAAGGCAACATACTTTCATACTTCATGTCATACATAAATAAATGACCAACATACCCTTATCTGTCATACATAAATAAATGACCAACATACCCTTTTCTGTCATACATACTTAAATGACCAAAATACCCTTTTCTTTCATACATACTTAAATGACCAAAATACCCTTTTCTTTCATACATACTTAAATATAAATTACCAACATCCTATTACATAAACTTTAAATATAAATTACCATCATCCTATTACATAAATTTTAAATCCAATTTACCATCATCCTATTACATAAACTTTAAATACAAATTACAATAAACACTAATCAATTACAAGAGTTTTTCCCTTCGAATTTCCTGGATCATCAACACCACCAATTGTTTTGCCTAATTTCAGCTTCAATATTCTCTCTGACTTTCTTCTCCTTATCCTCTTCAAAATCTCTGAAATTGGCCTAACACTTACCTGCTGAACTTGGATAACAAGAGCAACCTCCTGAACATTAAAATTATCAACTTGGGCATTAGGATTAAACTCATCAACCTCTGGAATATTTACATTATCAACTTGGATAACAAGATCAACCTCTTCAGCCTCCTCAACCACAACAGCTTACTCAACCACATCAGCTTCCTCACTCATAACACCCTCATCACCTTCATAACATCTAGGTGGAGTAAATTGCATATAATGACTAAAATCCCTTGCACTACTAGATTCTATTTCATTATCGAGTCTATTTCAACTCATGTATCGGCCCAAGCCGTACCGAGTCTATTTCACCCCCGAGTCTATTTCAACTCATAAGTTAGCACAACGTTGTACCGGGTCTATTTCACCCCCACATACATATAGCAAACAGGCACACAAACATATAACACATACAACAAGATTCACAAAGACTACAAGCAGATAACATATCATATTGTCCTACAATATAGTGAGCAAACTCAACACAGTCTGTTGACAGTCAGAAGAATAATCGGGCTGCTGAACCGGAAATCCCCACTAAATCACAAGAAACCCTAATTAGAAATTAGGTCAATAATCAAGCCCAAAAGTCCCAACCCTAAATCCTTGCCTTAAATGAGAAAGACACTTATTCCTTGCTTTATTGGGCCTAAACCATCAAGGCCCAAATGCTACTAGCCACGAAGCCCAATAAATAATCTATGTCTAAAATGGGCCCAAGCCCCAAAGGCCTAATAAATCAAAAGCTTATGGACCAAAAAGGGCCCAAAGTCCTTATATCCCACCTGTGGCCCGAAACAAGCCCAAAAGCCTCTCTAGTGAGTACACTCAATGTACCAACCAATACGCTCGAAATCCACACATTATCGGGACATAAGACATATACGCACAACGTACCCCAAGGTACGCCCAACGTACGCTGCAACTGGCCAAACTCTCAATCCAAGGTCTTAATCAGTTAATACTCAATGTCCAATCTTAGATATAGACTTATTAAAGTGCATTAAGCCATAAAGTTGTCATCCTTATGCTTTTTCATGTCTTAATGGCGGAAAATCTTGGATTTAACCATAATCTCTTAATGAAACCACCTTCAATCTTTACATGATTAAACTTAATCCCTCAACACTCCATTTTTATGCTCAGGGGACGTTAGAAACACTAGGATCTAATATTATAACCTTCTGGAGTAGCTCATACTCTCAAGAACCAATTAAAGGACCATTTTATGAAGAAATAAGCCCTAAACTACCATCTAACACATGAGGTCATCAAGGTAGAAGCTTTTTACCTTCAACAATACAGAAATGATGAGAAACCTGTGGATCTACAAGCTTTTTCTGGTCCAATGCTTTTTCACAACTGGGAGTGTTCGTTTGGATAGATCGGTTTGCTCCGATCCAATTAAGTAAATCCAAATTGATTTCGGTTTTCAAAATATGGATCTGAATACTCCAAAGTAAATTCAAATCTGATCCGATCCAATTACAATTCGGTTGGGTCGGTTTTTTATAATTCGGTTTTCAAAAATCATAACATTTTAAAACGACATATAATTATCATATTATCTAATTGTCACAGAAAAAACCAAAAACAAATTTTTTAGTTGTAATTTAGAATTTATAAACAACTATTAAGAAGATATATTATAGTTTAATATTTAATAGATAAAAAACTTTTGAGAGAAAGTACATATTAATTTTTTTTATTAGGTAAAACTTATTTGAAAAAATAAATAAATAATAAAATTAATTAAATAATTATAGATATACTAAAAAAACATAATAAGTTGTTATTCGTTTTTTTTACTATTCGGTTCTTATTTTATAAACCAAAATTAATCCGAAATCCTAAATAATAATTCAGTTTTGTTGAAAACCAATCCAAGAATCCGAATATCCGAACCAAATTGTCCAATTGTTCAATTTGGTTTTATCCAAATAGTGAACAGCCCTATTCACAACTCTTCTTCTTTTTCTCTGGCGACTAGGGCATTACACCTCCAACCATAACTCCATCCCCACTTCATCTCCTCCAGCGAGGTGAGATCCGAAACCCCAAAAATTATACAATGTAAAAAATGTCAAATCTTTTAGTTCGATCATGTGTACCTCCCTAACCTCTGTTTTTCCACTCTGTTCAGGGAGATCTAACATCACCTACCCAATAATCGCAGGCTACCAACTAGTCCATTATCACCATCTTGACCATTATTCTCATTGTTTTGACCTAACCAACATCATCCAACCACCAGTAAAATTCAAACACTCAAATGATAACTAAAACACCACTAAACAATCACCTCTAATACTAAAATCATCAGAGCACCGCCATCACTTATTTCTCATCATCTAAATGGACCAACACCATCGATTATAAAAGCATCAAGTGTGTGTTGGGGGGGGGGGGGATGATACCTTAATCAGACGAATCGATCAACCAAATTTAATTCCAAAGTCTGAGAAGGAAACCAGATTCCTGATAACCTGGAATTGATTCTTTGCAAGAGAGAAATCAAAATTTTGTTGTTTGGTGGTGATGTTGATACATCTTTAATGGATTAGGTGTGCAATCATGAATAAGTGTTGAATTATCGGAGAAGCTAGAGGGGTACAATGGTCGGTCACCCAAGAAAGCAGAGGCGCACGATAGGCGGATCACCGGAGAAGATGAAGGTGAAGAAAGTGGAAATGGAGGTGTGTGGTGTGAGATGTCGGCGGGATAAGCTAAGAGAAGAAAAACGATAAAGACGTCTTCAAAGGGTTATCTATTTTCTAATTATTAAATATTAAAATAGTTATGAAAATATATATAGAAAAAACAATTTAAAAGAATATAAACGAAGATATAATTTTAGATGAGTGATGCAAGTAGAAAAAGATTTTGGATTTCATCTATTTTTTTTTTTTTTTTAACCACAATGACCAAATTACAGTTTAGTCCTTTTATAATTATCATAGAAATGAATAAAACATGAATTAAAATTCTTATGTCGAAGAATGTTTTTTTTAATAAACAAATTTGATTGTTACTGAAGTTAATATTTCGGGTAAGTGGCTTTTCCAAATTCCAATCTGTTTTTCAGATAGAATTTTCAATCTTCTAACCGCTACTCAGTGTTAGTTTGCATCTAGTGCATCGACAGTTAGGCCATGCTTTGGATTTGTAAATTTCAGCTCTGGAAACTAGGCATGTCCAAAGTATAAGTACAATTGTACAAACCGACGACTACATTCTCCCCCGTTAGGATTCCGATTATTTAGATCAAACTGCCATCGTGATCCGACGGCCGGCGAGTTCTCCGCAGGATTTGGTACTTTACTGTTCGTTCTCCTCTACTCATAAGCAAATCGATTTAGAGGTAATCTCGAATATGGCTTAAACCCCAATGTTCGGGTTCTTATTTGTATATAATTTATGTGATCTACTGTTGTTATCAAGTGTAGTGATGAATGGTATTAATTTGGGTCTAATTACAAATAATTGTGTATGATCGAGGGAGAGTGGTGGCTGAGACGGGAACCATAATTTGAACTTGATTATGGCTTTAGATCGGTAAATTCAACAACTGTTGACTGCGGTTGTAAAATTAATATCTTCAGGGTTTAATATTAGTAGAGACTGAATCAAATTAGAGGAACCAGATGGCACTGTTTCAAAATTTATGAAATACTGTGTCATATGAGAATTGTTGGCTTCCTTTGTTTCTTAATCTTTTATATGTAATGGATCTGCAGTTGAAGTTGAAGACCTGATCTAGGGACTAGTTAATAGAATGCAAAAGTTAATTAGCAATAGAACTAAATCAACAGATGAACCAAAGCATGTTTCATTCTATTTGCAACATTTCATTTTATCACACTTGTTAGTATGTTACAATTCTCATCTTGCTCTTTAATCTGATAAATTTCATTGATTCTAGGAAACCTAATATGGGAACAGAAAGTGTCAATTGGCATTCAGGTTTAGATTGTGACCAATGGGTTGCCCTCCCAGTAGCTGGGCAACGACCATCAGCCCGCTATAAGGTTCACTCATATCTTTGCTATACAATTATTCTTATCTCATTCTTCATATCTTTTTCATATTCCTTGTTATACAATCACTTGTGTGTTATTCCAATGCCATTTTTTTCTTTCATTGTAGCATGCTGCAGTTGTTGCTGATGAAAAGTTATACATTGTTGGTGGAAGTCGTAATGGGAGATACTTATCTGATGTTCAGGTATCTTTATTGTTGTCTGCTCATCTTTCCATTGTAGGTTTACTAATAAGTGGTTATGATAGCAGGCATTTGATCTGAAAAACTTAAGTTGGTCCACAATTAAAGTAAGCACAAAATTAGAATCAGAAAATTTCCCTGCTGTATCTGGTCATAATATGGTTAAGTGGGGAAACAAACTCCTCCTTCTTGGTGGTCACTCAAAGGATACCTCTGATAATGTGACAGGTTTGTTTTATTGATAAAGTTGTTCTGATTGATATTTGCTGACCTGGACAAGTATTTAGTTCTCATTGAAATGATCTTACTGGTTGTTCATTACCTTGTAGTGCGTTTCATTGATCTTGAATCACACGTATGTGGGACACTGGAAGCCATAGGAAAAGTTCCGGAAGCTCGTGGTGGACAATCTGTTTCATTGGTTGGTTCAAAACTCATAATGTTTGGTGGAGAAGACAAAAAGAGAAGACTTATGAATGATGTTCATGTTCTTGATCTTGAGACATTGACATGGAATGTTGTTGAGACTATGTAAGTATGTTTCACTTATATTCATACTTACATACTACTAGCCTCATTGCATGCTTTTAAAAAGTTTATGCATTGATTTTTTCTGCTTTGATAGACAGACTCCTCCAGCTCCCAGATTTGATCATACAGCAGCAGTGCATGCAAACCGTTACCTTCTAATATTTGGTGGATGTTCTCATTCAATTTTCTTTAATGATCTACATGTGCTGGATTTGGAAACAGTAAGTGATTTTTTTATATATATGTATATATTTTTTGCTATCATCTTAATTTTAAGTTTATGATTTAAAAAAAAAAAAAAAATCATTGTATTGCAGTTAGAATGGTCCCAACCGCAAATTCAAGGTGATTTGGTGTCTCCTAGGGCAGGCCATGCTGGCGTCTCTATTGATGGAAATTGGTATATTGTTGGTGGTGGCGACAATAAAAGTGGTATGAATATAATATAAGCTTAATAAATAAATAAAATAAGGTTTGAGTTGTTTATAATTTATAAAACCTCAATATAACCTCATGTTGCAGGTGCCTTGGAGACATTGGTGATGGATATGTCAAAACTTGTTATCTCAACATTGACAAATGTGAAGGGAAGAGATCCACTCGCCAGCGAGGTTGCCATTTTTAATTTTTGTATATAAATATTTTTCTTTGTTATTTACAATCCTATTTATTTTCTTTTTTTAAAATGAAACAGGGGTTGTCTGTATCATCAGTGTTAATAGATGGGGAACAGTATTTGGTTGCTTTTGGGGGGTATAATGGGAAATATAGCAATGAGGTATTTGTGATGAGACCAAAACCAAAGGATTCTAAACATCCAAAGATCTTTCAGTCACCAGCAGCTGCAGCAGCAGCAGCTTCTGTAACTGCAGCATATGCCCTAGCCAAATCTGAAAGCTTAGAGTTCACAACCATGGATTCAAAACCTAAAGTGGATCTTTCAGTTGAAGTTAATATGATCAAAGGAGAGAAAAAAACATTGGAATCGTCAGTTACCGAGGTCAAAGCAGTAAATTCCAGTCTAATGGAAAAACTTGAGGAATGTAATGGTGCTCATGTTGACTTATCCATGGAATTGCATTCTGTTAAAGGCCAACTGGCTTCTGAAAGATCAAGATGTGCTGAACTAGAGGTATTAATAATGAAGATACATTTAATTTGGAATTACAATGTACTTATTATTATGGTGGTTTCAGGCACAGATCTTGGATCTACAGAAGATGTTATCATCAATGGAGTCCATTGAGCAAGAGGTTCAAACACTTCGCTCTGAAAAATCAGCAATAGAGCAGGATATGGAAGTTTCTGCAAGTGATGAAAAGCAAGGATCAGGTGGAGGTGGAGTTTGGAGGTGGATAGCTGGATAAATTGGTGATATGATACGGATCAAACTTGCAATCTTATAGCATCTTAAAGGTCAAATATTTCATTCATTATAAGTCAAATATTCCAAATACTTTTTTTTTTTTTCGTTTAATTGTTTCAAATTATAGGAACGAGTGTCTACATTTTGTGACATGTGATGGTAATTGATTGGGATCAATTGATTCATTTGAATTGATGCTATTCAATTAAAATATTAAATGGTTTATTTGTTTATGCAAAAAAGTGAAGAGAAATAAGATATTGAAAAACACTAGACTACACTTGTGACTTGCTAATAACAAGTTATTGATGTCTAATAGAATACATTGAAGGATGTATCAATGTTCCGGCTTTATGATAGATTGAATAGGTATTGAAGCAAAAGTTATGGTGGTCAAAGCTTGGATTTGACTTCCTGTTTGCTTTGTGCCACTAAATCCTTTCGTAATATCTTGCCTGCAGCAGACTTTGGTATTTCGTTTATGAAGGAAACTTTCCTCACCTTCTTGAATGGAGCCACCTGCAACATACATGCAGATAAATACAATCAAATGATTGATGATGAAGCTCTTAGGTTGCATTTGCTACATAGAGTCTTGATTGGACTGGACAAGCTTTCTTCGACAATTTTCGATGATGAGAACGTAGAGGGCGTTCATGTGTTTTGCACAGATAAAAGATCAAGAGCAAGTCCCTCTTCCACCTTTCTTGGTAGGACAATAAAATAGCCATTTTTTTCCCATTCTTCGGTTCTAGTCTCCCAGTCCAATCAATACATGTCAAACATAGTACAGTCTGTTTTGTCATGTCATGAAGGTATCTAGACAAACCTGACTGGCAACAAATTTAATAACTTGGTCTTCACTGAGTTGACATCCAGCTGCTCTCACCACATATGCCATGGGTATCTCTCCTGCCTCTTCATCTTCAAGTCTAAAATATTGCAGATTCTTTAAAAACACACGAAAAGTTAATCACACACATACACAAGCACACAGAAACTCACGGTATGACTGCTGCATCCAGTATTTCGGGATGGCTCAATAGTACGGCTTCAAGTTCTGCTGGAGCTACCTGCATTTGTGCTTCATGTCATTTCATCATATATTCATTTCAAAACACGCACACATTCACACACTTGTCCACTTACCTGATAACCATTATGTTTAATGAGCTCCTTTATCCTATCAACAACATAAAGACACCCATCTTCATCAAAATAACAAAGATCTCCAGTCCTCAACCACCCATCCGAGTTAATAGTTGCAGCCGTGGCCTCTTCATTTCCCAAATAACCTTTCATCACAGTGGGTCCCTTCAGCCACAATTCACCTTCCTTATAAGGCGGCATAGCAACCCCCGTTTCAAAATCAACCACCTTAGCACAAAAACGCGGTAGCAAACCGCCCGAACTAGCTGGATGAGTCTTCGCCTCTTCATTACTAACAAATAAAGTCGCTGCCCCACAGCTCTCGGTCAGCCCGTACCCCGGCCTAAGAGCCACCCATGGAAACCTAGCCCTGAACCGGTCCACCAACTCCTTACTCAACGGTGCAGCTCCAGACCCCACCCGTCTCAAAGATGATAAATCATACCCACCTCCATCATGTTTGACCAAACTTAGTATCACCGGAGGAACCGCCGGAATGTTGTTGACTTTATGAGTGTGTATAGCTTCTAACATACCTTTAAACTCGTATTTTTTCATTAAAACCGTTGTAGTACCCGAACAAAACAACCCCAAACCGAAAAACGCGAGACCGTAGATATGAAACATCGGTATGAAACATAAGAAAACATCGTTGTTAGCCGACATGTTGTCGACCGACCATTTTAAGAGTGTCATGACTGAAATGAAATTTGCATGTGTTAAAACGACTCCTTTACTCACTCCGGTCGTCCCTGAGGAATACAGTATCGCCGCCGTATCCGACTGAGCTAACCGGGTTTCGGGCAACTCCATCGGCTCACAGCCGTCGATAAGTTCTTCTACAGACAACTCATCCCCGCTAGAGGGACGAGAGGTCAGTAGGATAGGTACATTAGTTGACACCAACTTATGCTCCTCCCCGGGAGCCACAACGGCCAATGTCGCACCCGAGTCGAGCACTTGTTTGGTTATTTCTGACTTGGTGTTAAGCGGATTAGCCGTGGTGAGGACCCCGCCGATTAAAAACACAGCTAGACATATGGTTGGGTAGAGGATTGAGTTTGGTGATAACAAAAAGACGACATCCCCCTTACGGATACCAAGGCAGTGGTGCAACCCGGTTGCTAACGAGTAGATTGATCGTTTAAGTTGAGCGTAGGTGGCTCGCTGGTTTGTAGCCAAGTCGATAAGAGCTACTCGTGATTCGGCTTGGTCTGATTTTGGGAACTGTGACAACACAAATGTAGCTGTATCGAGGTAAGGAGTGGTCGGGATCTTGTTATTGGTCCCAAGTTGCAACAACGAGTGGTAGATCCCTGTTTGGGGATCGAACCCACTCGTGTTTTTTTCTCCTGTGGGCCGAAATCGGCTGACAGGTGATACTTCCTCCAAGGTGTCCATGTGGCTGATCGATATGGGAGAATTTTAATCTCGTTGGATCAACCTATAAAGGTTTATAGTATGGAATGATAATGCAGCTGTGTCTTTATGTGCATCGTTATCACCGGACGTTAGGTACATCAATATCTGTCATGTTTGCCGGCCGGGTTATATTGATAAAACATGACTAGGTCTAGGGTAGATTCGATAGAATGTTAAAGTGATGAAAGGTATATACTTCGATAATTGTTTATATCTTCTTTGTCCTTGTCCTATCTTTAGATCATGCTTCATCCCTACAAAAAGGAAAAGAAAAGTATTAATTGCCAACTATATGTCACTAACCTAAACATTTTATAAGACTTACATAACAGTTTAATATAAACCTTTAAATTTAAATAATCATTTTACAAGTCCTTTAAAATAAAAGTTATACAAAATATACTATCTGCTATATTGATTAGGGCCTAAAGATTCATTTTTTTTTCTTTGTTTTTACTGAAATTAAGGTGGAGAAAAAACATGTAAAATACTTATTAAATCAAATTTCATACATTTTTGCGTATATTTAAACAAAATAAGAATATATATATATATATATATATATATATATATATATATATATATATATATATATATATATATATATATATATAATTGGAGATGTCGTACGATAACGTACTCCCGGTATATGTTCTTGGTCTCATTGGCCATGCAATTTTGATAGCGGTATTTTAATAAAATGAAATATGCCAACTATATGAAACAACTTTGTTCCTATCAAGTTGAAGATTTAATCACGGAGATTGAACTTAAATGGAGTGCTAACTTCTTTGATTCTTGTCGATAAAACAATTGTTGTGAGCTTAAGTTTATGTATCATTTGCACAGCCACATTGAAATGTACCATGAATAATGTTCGTACTACTTGTGAGACTTTGTTGTCGATTTGGATATTGATACATGCTTGGTGAGAGCTTGATCGGGTTACGTCTAACTGTATTAACTATTGGATCTCTTGGAAGGATAACTTCTTCTTTGATGCAATTGTTATTACTTCTTTTCGGCAATTTGCAAGTTTCACAATACTATCTTTGAAGCGAGCAAGCCAAAAAAGCAAACTATTTCCATCATATTGTGGCAATTTGTCTCAATTGTTTTTTTGGATTTGCAATAGGAACAATAATAAAATTAATTGGATTGGTTGACTCACAAGTCACAACTCACACCCCTAGATTAGCTTTAAATATTGTGTAATGTGCTCTTTTTTTAGCTCCTTGATAGTCTTTTAATATATTTTACAGTTTTAGAAAAATAATAAAATAAGACTCTGGCTCACCATGAGTATCAACGTTTACCTCCCTTATACCTATTCCAATGGAATTACGAGTCTGTTGATAATGTTGTTGTATAAACATGATAAAAAAAAAAAAAAAACTTGTCACATAGTGTCATATTCGTATTATGATATGAAACCATAAATGTATACACAATCATAAAAGTTACATCTAGAAGTGAGGATGAAAACATAAAATAGTTAATTAGTTATCAAACAAAAAGCCGAAACCTTGAAGTTTCGATAAATACTTGTTCGGGTTGTTCGATGATTCAAATCACAAGGTTTTGTTTTATGGTTTGTTTTACCATTTATAAACCCAAAGAAATCATGTCATTTGAAAATTTGACTGAAGTGTAAAACCAACATAACTTGTCGCTTCCGGTTGATTTGACAACCAACTTCAACCTAATATGTTTCATTATCAATTAGTTATCTAATAATATTATATAATAACTTAATGCGTATTTATATGAAATAGTAGGCTCCTGATAGTAACACCCAACAACTTTTGTTGATATTTACAAGATGCTAAAAAATGGAAGTTTTTTTTTTTTTTGTTTTAAGTAGGTAAAAGATGTAACATTTCTCGTACAGATTATAATTCATGTCTATTATCTAACTACTGAAAGATATGATTAATTTAATTTTGATCTAGAACCTTTCAAAATTTCGGGACACTATTAATTACCATTTAGTGGTATTTATTAAATTATTTGTGTAACATCAAAAGACTTATAGACTAAGAGTATCAAGAATTGATTATCAAAATGAATTTCGAGAATTCGAATCATTAATGGAACATAGTAGGTTTCGAGTGTTGATCAAAATTAGACCATGCTTCTAACATCAAACTTTGCATCCTATTATCTATAATTCCATAAAGCTTAATCCATCAATTGAGATCACAAAGTATATGAGGAAAGTAATTAAATTTTTCCAGAAATGTTTAGCACCCATGCGTATTAAATGCCATCAACAGCTTTCATTTAGTGATAAAGTATGTATCACATTCACATAGCTTCGGATCTTTTAAGCATGTTATTGTTAAATCAAGATATATGAATAAGATTAAATCAGCAACAGTCAATATTAGTCATAACAATAAACAAACACAACTTGCGTGGAACAGTTGGTTAAAAGTAGGACTAAAAGATCAACAAAAACAATGACATGAAATAGCGATGTACTATTTCCTTCCAGTCAAACTTAAACTTCCCCAAATGTTGTTACCAACAACTTTTAACAGAAATAAACATTTCCCAATTCCAGAATCAGAGATCAGTCAGCAAAATGACTGATAATGATTATTTGTTAAACAGATGCTGCTAAACTAAGCAAATAAACCATGAAGCAGAAGCATATCCTCCTCCTGTTGACCAATTTTTTCAGCTCATGTATGACCTTGGACAGATGAGACTGCTGATCTGAGAGCTCAAAGAAACAACCATGATGCACAGAAACAGGCAAAAAAACCAACTCCTGGAAACACCGGAATGCCCCTTTCCAGAGTTCAACCCAACAACACTTTGATTTTGATCTTGATCTTGATCCTGATCCAACCTCAATGAGAGAACAATGTCCAGATGACCATTCTTCCCCAATGACCAGTCCAGTTTGGTCCCTGTGAAAGAAACGTCTCTTATACGGATCATTCCTGTGGTCACCCGAACTGATGTTGAAGCTTGTGAAGCAGCAGCTGCCAAATACTTTGAAGGATACTCTGATGCAAATGCAGGTGGTGCAGATATGTTCCCCAGCATGTAACTCGCCCTCTGGAGAAACGGATATGCAAACTCTGCAAAAACCTCACTGTCAGATATAGACAACAAGGGTATTTTTGTCTTTTAATAAACAAAAAAAAAAAAAAAAAAATGGAGTCGAATTCCATCCATTTGGCAACCAAACACGCCATGGAATGGAATCTACCATACCTTCAAACGGTTGTTGGCTTGCTTCATTTGCCTCGTGAGGTGCTGCATCTTGATGTTCTTGACCTGAAGAGGAGGCAACATTGTTGCCTGTTGCCAAATCTGGTTGCTCTACCTTTGTTGGAGCAATATTACAGTTCTGCCCTTCAAAGAATTGCTGGGTAGCTTCAATCGCATCGTGGGTATCTTCGTTTGCATTCTGATTATTCAAATATAGTATCAAATTAGATAAAAAAACAGGAAAAAGTAACTGAAGTTATGTCGTGGTGTTGATGTTACCTCAGGAATGAGGGATGATTCTGGGAGAATATCCTCGTTGTCTATTGAATCAAAAGTGTACTCCAAGTTATTTGTTGGATTAATAAATGAAGTATATTCATCAAACATTTCAAGGCCAGGTTCTGTTTTAACTTCGTTTTTAAGGTCATCTGCTTCGAGGAATGAACTTGCATCAAACTGAAAGTCACCAGTAGAAGCATCAAAAAAGGGCTCATCAAGCAAGTAATCCACATCAAAATCTGAGGCATTGTTTGTTTCACCAATGTATTCATGCTTCACAGATTTTGGATCCATCCCATTCTGCACAGGCAAATCAAACAGCTTAGGCCCATCTTCTTTGTCAGCTTGATGTTGATCCTCACCCTCATCCATCAACACCTTTTGAGGGTCTTCGATCATTTCTGTGGACACCTCAGCACTGCTGAGATTATCACCATCATGCAACTCCAATGGAAGGGGAGCAACTTTGTCTGGTGTATCTGAGCCAAGAATCTAAGGTAAAATAAAAGGAAAGAGCATTCATCAGAATCATGAATATATATATATATATATATATATATATATATATATATATATATATATATATATATATATAAGTAGATGCACATCAGAATTGCATAAAGGTCAAACCTGTTCAAGGTCATTTGCATCTAAGTAGGCATCATCATCATCAACAGGAAAATCTTCAGCAAACTCCTGCTTGGGGACCATTACCAGTTCATCATCCTCCCATTCCTCCTCAACAAATGGAGCCCCATATTGTTCACCATTTTTAGGTCCGGAACCACTCTTCCGGAAGATTCTACAGAGGACAAATGAATCCTGCCAGCACAAAATACAGAAAATCCAAGAAGATGCATCAAAACTAGCATAATGTATGATTACTTTGCCGAAGCCATATAATTTTCTCATACACCTATTGTATGTTAATGTTATACAAAGTACATGGATCTCACCTGGACAATTCCAGCTTTTTCCAACTCCTGATCAATGAGTCTGTATTCATGCATAACCCAGTTTGTCCTTTCTCCCTTTGGAGCCCGACCACTATGATACACCAGAGTTTTTTTCATGCCAACCAGTTGAGACCTATGGTAAACAGACCGGTCTTTCCCAGTTGTCTTCCAGTACCCTTTATCAGTTGCTCGATTTGTACGTGACCCATTCCCATACTTCTTATCCAGGACACTGAAAAAGTACCATTCCAGATCTCTGCTCTTAAGCCTGGACAGACCTGCACCCCCAAATTGACCAAAGAGAATCAATTCAACGAATCTTTTGAATTTGTTAACCTTTCAAATAAGATGACATGTTAGTTCTATGTTAAGATAATTGCTGGAATTTCACAGTATTGCCACTTAGATTCACACGAATCCAACCAATATCGTCCAGATCACTTCCCAGATGCATCAAAAGTTTGGTTCTAAGAATATCTTGTTGATCCGGAGCGGAATAACTAAACAAGGGCGCATCAAATCGACAACTAAAAGCTGGGTTTCATTAAAACCAAACGAAATCACACAACTAAAACGACAACCATACACTTAATTAAAAAATAAATAAGACCTAATTAACACAATTCTTCACCATAGAAAGAAGTGAATTAACCTGGAAGATCCCAAGGTTCGACTTTGTAGACATCAACATCAGAAATAGCGTCAAATCGGAAGGGTTTGCCGCAAATCTTACGCCTCAAATAATACCGTACAAGTTCTTCATCCGTTGGATGAAACCTAAACCCAGGAGCGAGAGAGGAAGCCGTTGTTGGAGCCGGTGTTACCGAATCAAGAACCACTGCCATATACGAATAAGATTTGAAGAAGAATTTAGAGAGAAAAAAGTGGGGTGAATTGAGGAATTGTGTTGATTAGGGTTTCTCAATTTGAGGCATTTGATCCAGAGAAAGTAAAAGCGGGCTTGAGTTGGTCCAAAATGACGACTTTAATTCCTTATATCTGTCAACACGTAGTCGTGGATGCTTCCTAGAAGCTCAGAATAGACTTCGGTGGCACTCAACATACCACTTTTTGTTTCCTAACGTAAATCCATTAAATAAACAAGTACTGTATTACCTAAAATAATCATTTGTAAACCATATACAATTTTCATAAACGTATACTAATTGGTATAAATATGTAGATTTAATATATGGAAGTAAATTGGATTTTTTAACAACTCAAAACCTAAATGCTAATAAAAACATATTAACCAAAAAAAATCACGAAAACAAACCAAAAAAATAAGTATCATTCTTCTATCAACAAGTGAAAACATCTTTATTCTAATCCTAAATTTCAAAAAAAAAAAAAAAAAAAAAAAAAAAAGACAATATAAAGTTGTCATCAAACTTGGCAAAGAAGTCTCTTGCAACCAAAGTGGAAAGTGACAATATCTTTTGGTGAATATATCTTGAAGTTAACATCGTTGATAATGTGTAATAACTTTATAGATCGACATTATAAGTTTATGTTTTGTTGAGAATATATACATGTGGATGCTTAGATACGACATTGTGTGTAAACAAATGTGTTGAACAAAATTTATAAAGTATGATGTTTATATTTACATCTATGGGTAGAAATATAATATTTATGTCAAACACAAACAGGTAGGAAGTCTTATATATATCAAACACAAACAGGTAGGAAGTCTTATATATATCAAACACAAACAGAGAGAGAGTCATATGTATCAAACATCATCATGGTTTATTAAACAAACTTAATTAAGTATATGTCATTATTATAAACAGAACAGTTATATGTATCAAACATCGTCATGGTTTATTAAACAAACTTAATTAAGTATATGTCATTATTATAAACAGAACGATAATAAATGTAGCATTAGGTAACCATTGTATTCTTTTAATTGATTTGTTATAAGTGTATACTAATCTATTGCAACAAATATAGAGGTTTAATTTTGTTAAATAGATACTAGGTGTAAAACTCATGTATTACATGGGTTATATATATATATATATATATATATATATATATATATATATATATATAAAGGTCAAAATATTTAAGAACTTTAGAATTATAAGAAAATAAGAAAACTAATAAATTATTAAAATTGTTTTTTTATCTTTTAAATTTAAATATATAAACAAAATAAACTAATGAGCTTTAATTTGGAAATTTTGAAATAAGAATGTAAGTCTATTAATGAAATTGATATTCCTTTATTATTACATTTATTGTAATTATTACATTAAAGTATTAGGTAAAATTTATTAAAATGGAACAACTCATAAAATAACATGTGGAAAATTTTAATTTAAAATAACCACAAAATGACATTTAACAATTTAAATGAGAGTGTGATATGTGGCAAAAAAAAAAAAAAAAAAAAAAAAAAAAAAAAAAAAAAACTTCATTTATTAGTGTAGATTATGAAAGAATATTTTAAAACATGTGGCATATAAATACATAGAAAGAAGAAATATGTAGGTCTAATAACAAGTTATATGTTTTATTCTGTATTTAATTTTGTGTTTAATTTCATGTATGACTTTTACTAAGAGTGAAAGAAAAGAATGATTGATAAATTAAGTTTTGTTAAAGAAATTTGAAGAATATTATAATTTTGTGACATGCCAACAACCAACGATAATATTATTTACTAGTGTATAACCCGTGAGAACTACGGTTATAAAGTTAATAAAATTTTCATAATAAATCTTAAAATTATTAATTAATTATTTTAAATAAATTATTAATTAAATAATATTTTTTATTTATATAAAATTATAATCATTGATTCAAATAAATACGTAAAATTATATCCTCAACATCCTGCAAGTACTTGGGGCAGCTTCGCTTCCAGTGCCCCTTTTCCTGACAGTAGAAGCTGTTGGATTAGTGTCTAAGTCCATAACTATTTTGGTATGTACTTGACCCGATGGTGCATGGTCCTTTTGGGCTGCCTTCACCAAAGCAACTTGATAGGATGAATTATGAAGAGAAATGATTAAATATGATTTATTAATGTATTATGAGAATAATATATTAAAGGAGGAATCATATTGTTTAATTAATATTAGTCAATAATTAATTGGTAATTAGTTTTGTGACTAAAAGAGATTAATTAAACTTAAAGGACTGGAATTGTAATTATAAGATAATTATAATTTGGGCCATGGATTGCCTTATATTATAAGGTGGACGAATTCTATGGGTAAGCCCATATGAAATCGTCCAAGGCCTTAGGGGTGTAAGTGAGCCGAGCTACTCGGGATCGACTCGCTAAAAGCTCGACTTGAGATCAAATTAAACGAGCCCGAGCCGAGCTCGAGCCCAAATATGAGGCTTGTTTATTAAACGAGCTCGAGCCGAGCTTCAGCTAGTGGGCTCGCGAGCCTAAAAGAGCCTAAACGAGCCTATATATATATATACACATATATATATATATATATATATATGTGTGTATGTGTGTGTGTGAGAGAGAGAGAGGGTGTGTGTGTGTGTGTGTGTATATATATATATATAGGCTCGTATAAGCTCGTTTAGGCTCGTGAGCTCACTAAATTGTTCACGAGCTGAGCTCGAGCTTCATTTTAAGGCTCAAATCGAGCTCAAGCTTCTTCAAAATTAAACGAGCCGAGCTCGAGCTTGGTTAGGCTCGGGATCGGCTCGGCTCGTTTACACCCCATGCCTTAAAGAAAAGGCTCCATGGGTTGCTTAGGGCTTAAGCATCCAATTTAGGGTTTCCTTGTTAGATAACCCTAATAGACTCACTATATATAAGACCCTTATGACCCAAAAACGTGGCTAATGATCTTTCTAGGGTTTCACACGTTTTTAGGCAGCCTCCATCCTCTCTCCTCTTCATCCTCTTACTTATGGTGTTTGTGAACCATTAGAGGAGTGACACTTGTGACTCTAAGCATTCCAAAGTCAATACAAGGAGATTTGGGATTGTTATTGCTACATAACAATCAAGGTAACATTATAAACTTATTCTCGTATTAATATGATTATTTGAATGCTAGAATTAGGGTTTATAGTCTTGGATAACTTGCATGTACAATAGAGAAACCTAGATCCAAGGTTTAGGGTTTGTATGAGCACATAGGATGTTCTTAGGACCAAAACCCAACAGTGGTATCAGAGCCTAGCTTGGTTTCAATTGTATTGATGCATTGTATATCTGAAAATTTTGATTTTTGGTGTTCTGGAGGCTGGACTCGCCAAGTCCATAGCTGAACTCACCGAGTCCATGCAGACTCGACGAGTCCAAGCCTGACTCGACGAGTCAACTCATCAGATGGAGGGTATCTCGGGTTTTCTTGCTGTTTTTGCTTATAGATAGTTGCCTTATCATGTTAGATCAATATTCACTACTAGAAAACAGCCCTTTAATGACGCGCAAACAATGACACGCGCCGATAGAAGACGCGCATTTGTGCGTGCCCTAAAATATAATGTTAGTTTTGCAAAATTTGAAGGATAGTGGACACGCATTTTTTGGGCGCCCTAAAGTTAGTGTCCAATAAAAAAAGAAAAAAAAAACACGGAGGGCACCTATCCTAACAAGCGTGACGTGTAATCATGTCGCTTTATAATTGTAGACTATGAGCACGCGTTTTCGTTTTTTAATAGCCAAAAAATTAAAAACCCCGCCTGTTGCATCTCCTCCTTCCACAGGAACGCTCACCTCACCTCATTCCACAGAAACGCTCACCTCATCAGACTCACCATCATCTATCTCTCTCTCTCTCTCTCTCTCTCTCTACAAATCCCCTCTACGGTACAGACCACCACTATCTTGTACCACCACCATGGTCGTCGCACCTACATCTCACCACCTGCAACCTCAATACGATCGACCATCACCACCATTCTTACCATCCATTGCTGCCCTACCATCTTCTCCATCACCACCTTTTTCTTATTCCGTGTGAAACCCTAAAATCGGTACCAACAACTAATAGGGTTTGGAGAAAAACTTGATCTAAGAAAAATCAAAGCAAACGACTTAGAAGATGCTACCATATACTCGTACAAAGCAACTCAGGTAGGTTATTTAATAAATTTTGCCTTTAATTCTAAAGATATTTCCTTTGATTCTAACACTCTTTCGTTGTCCCCCCCCCCCCTTTCCTTCGGAAACACACATGAATTATGAGTTCCTTCTCTTTTCCTATGGGGTTCACGAAGCGTGGTTTATACATCTAGGGTTTCTGAATTTCAAGTATTATGAACACAAATTCTAGAAGAAATATGGTCAACCAGCTCAAATATGGTCCGATTCCAGTTCTCAAAGCCCTAAACTCCGATTGACATGTCATTAAGGCTCAACAGGTACCACAATCGTTATTTTTCTATTTGTATATATTTGTTTCTTTATTTACATATTTTGTGATTATATTATGATTGTTTGGACCTGCTTGGAAAAAACTTAGTCTGTATGATGTATGATTGTAACATGTTTGTATCAGAAAGCAAAAATGTTGGGTTCCTGTTTGTTTACTTTAAGGTTGGAATGTTGGATCCCCCAAGAGAGGAAGTAAGAGAGGTTGTTAAGAAAGGAATTGACTGGAATGATGCTAACAATTAGGTTGTAGAGGTTCAGAACATGCTTAAAAAATATGCACATAAAGTGTTTGTAGAAATGCCAAAGAGAGAAAAAAAAAAGTGGTGAAACTGTTAAAACTATGGTGACAGCATTGAAGCTAAGAGGTTCTTCACCAAATTCATCCAAAATGAGGTAGTCCATGAAATTAGTATCAATCCTAATGTATCTGTTCCTTTTTCACATGTTTCTATCTTATAAGGAGTTTAATTTATATTCATTGACTTCAAGAGTTCTTCATATTTGTACAGGTGGAAGCAAGCATTGAGTATAATTGTAGGCATGAAGGTCCAGGCAATTATGGTATTTAACACAATTTGGGATGAATCTCAAAGCTTCTCTACAATGTCAAAGCTACTAGAATATATTTATTGGTGGCTATATTGCAAGCCTTCAGTAATGCTATTGGTTTTGCTGTGGACCACAACAAAAAAGTGAGTAGTTGATAGAAATATTTTCTATAGTCAGTTTTATATTTTTAATGTTTCTACAACTTTGGATTTAGGTTTTCTGTGTGATTGGAGATGTTTTCTTTTTACATGATACTAATCGATTAGCGCTTCTGAAATAGAGGTACAAAATACAAATCCTACATTTCTTAGATTTTTATATTTATGTTTTTGCTAAATTTCTTGTTTTTGAAGGATTTCAAGAAAACAAATGACATTAATTTTACTAGATTATTAAGGTTGGAACGTTCCCACATGGGCATCTTCACTGAGTTGGGTGTCCTTTACGCCAGATACCGCTACGAGATTATTAGGGCTGGAACGCTCCCACATGGAAGTATGTATAATGGAGATTTTGTTTTTGGTAATTGCATTTGCAGGCAGGGCAGCTTCCTCTTGTAAAACCATATATGGTTGCAGTTTAGAGCAACAATGTATCTGCTGTAAATGAGGCATTGAATGAAATATATGTGGAGGAGGAAGACTATGATAGGTTACGTGAGTCTATTGATTTGCATGACAACTTTGACCAGATTGGCCTTGCGCAGAAGGTACTTTGTTTGTGGTACTATTATTATTGTTATTAAATGAAGTGAATTGTGATGTCATGATATTGATTGATGCATATGAATGGATTGTTGCGGATTGAGAAACACGAGCTTCTTGAGATGAGGCATGTGGCTGCATATATTTACAAGAAGGCTGGTAGATGGAAGCAGTCAATTGCATTGTCTAAGAAAGACAAGGTTTACAAGGATGCCATGGAGACAGCCTCACAATCTGGTGACCGTGAGTTAGCAGAAGAATTACTCCTTTATTTCATCGACCAGGTACAAACCTATTCACTGTGGTGGGTTGTATGTTGAATATGAGGGTATTTGTGAGGGCCAATTGGTAAATTCAGTGTTTTATAATAACATAATATAATTGGGGTTATGCATCATTTCAGGGAAAGAAGGAATGCTTTGAACAATATGATCGATTTTTCCCTCCCGTATCTGGTTTAGGTCTGTTTTTTTGTTAAGCCTGTACATATTAATATGATATTCTATGCGTCCTTAATTTTATAACAGAGGATCTTTTTGATCTAAAACCCGACTTTTCTTCCACCATTAGCATTTAGTTTAGCAGATGTCCTCGAAACTCATAAATCCTTTTTAGTGGTTTTGATTCATACATAGCTCAGCATCTTAGAAGAGGCAGTCCAATTGTTTGTTTTAATTCCTCTCCAAGGTACATACAACTGCTTTCAATTTCTCATCTCATCTTCTATCTCTATGGGGTTGGTTTAGGTAATCGCATGTAGATTCCCGCAATAGAATTATTTGGTTACGTGTTTTTTTGTAAATGGATAAATGGCCTGCCATCTGAATTAAGATTCTAGTATAATTTTATCTTGAAGGTTATATGGTACATAGGATCAGATTAATCAAATATTAAACAATGTTGCCCAAAACAAATCCAACAGATCCCTAATCTAAATTAAATTCTGAATGTAAGGATTTTCCTCAAAATTGTTAAACACTATGTTATGTGTCCTGTAGGATGGAGGTTGCATTTTTCGGTGACACTACTCGCCTGAGTTACAGGTTGACATGGGAGTTCTTGCTATGTTTACTACCAGTTTTTACCTCCACAATTGTATCATCAATCCTGATATGGAATTATGAAGGTTCAGACAACTCAGAAAGAGCTACTTCTCTTTATGATGGTGAATCATGGATGCCATGTCTGAAAGGACTAAGCCCTTTTTGGTTAATGGGTTCCAGAATGATTTCATTTTGCTTGATTTTAGCTGCTTCCATTGCTGATGTTGCTACTCATGGCACCAACTTATTTTACTAATATACCCAGTAAGTCATCTACTACTACCACAAACTTGCAATGAGAATGAGTATGTTGTTGCTCTTTTATAATTATTTCTCTAACTTACAACTTCTGTTTGTGTTTAGGTGGACTTTTATGTTGACAACAATCTATTTTCTGGTATTTAAATTATCGGTTAATCAATTCATGTAGGTTGAGTATGAATATTATTCAAGTGTCATCTTTTTCTTTGACTTGGTTTTGTCATTTTTTATTTTTGTTTAGTTTGGATCGGTGGTATCTGCTTCCGGATGTTTCCGGATGGACAAGAAGAAGATGTATAATGCTCATAGCATAATAGATATAGAGCAAGGAATTGGAATCTATATGCCCCTCAATCATGCAGGAAAGGAGAAACCAGTAAATCTTCAAGAGGAATGTTATTTCTAACCAACTGCTGCCATTTGGGGCTACATTTTTCAAATTGTATTTCAGGTGCTTTAACTTTAACATAATATGCCAATATTAAATAATTACCTCTTTGGAAACCAATCTAATCTCATCAGAAACTTAATTTTTCCTTCACGGATTACTGTTGGGGCAGTGATGCTGACTGATGGTGTTTATTGGCTTGTAATCTTCCCATTTCTTAACATTTCAGATTATGAAATGAGTTTTGTAAGTCTTTATAATTACTTTACACCATTTTTCGTGATTTGGGAGTTTTTTGTGGGGTTTAAAGATTTAATTTGTTGTTGTTGTTGTTGTTTCTTAAAACCAGTTGACAGTTGTTGTTCATTCCCTTAATCTTGTTTTGGTGCTAGGAGACACTGCCATGAATAGCTTGGTAAAATTTCTTCATCATTAATTTGTTTCAATAACTATTTTTTTCTTATATTCTAACTTAAAAAATTGAAATGAAACACTCTTGTTTCAGCGTTTCCCTTGGTTCAGAATATCATATTTTATCATGTTCACTGTGTTATATGTGATCTTCGAGTGGATTGTTCATGCCTTTGTTTCAACATGGTAAGTATACAAAACACCAGGTATGGGTGGAGGAGGATTTTCTCCACCACCACCACCACCAATGGGTGGAATGGGGATGCCGCCTATGCCACCAATGAGCTCTTACTGATTCATTCATTATTGGTGGATGAAAGAACAAACGTGAACAGTTTCAAGTCGTGTGTTTTGGGGGGTTAAAAGGTAGATTTCTTCTAGATATGAGAATAAATAAGGCGTGGTTCTACTTTTTTTTTGGGTAGTTGAGGAATTTTTTGCAGGTGGATAGGCAAGATGAGGGAGTGTTCGATGATATGTTTTCAGCCAGTGGTTGATGCTTTTGATCCAAGATTATTAGTGGCTCCTACTGTTTCCCATGTCATCAATTTTACTACTGTCAAGGTATTCCTTTTTTATTATTATTACATTTCCATAATGGATAAAATTTTATAATATTATTAAATGAATGTGAATTCGATCTAGATATTTTTTTTCTTCTTATTTCATATACAGGAAGAGGATTTGTATGAAATTGACATTCCACTAAAATTCACTACTTCTGTGGGCACAAGGATACATGGTTTAGCATGTTGGTTTGATGTTCTCTTCAATGGAAGGTAATAAATTATATACATATATTTTTTTTCTAGTTATTTAGAGAAAAAAAAATAATAATTTTGTATGTTGATTTATATTACAACACAGTGCAAAGGTGGTTGACGACTGCCCCTGGTGCACCCACAACTCACTGGTATCAACTTCGTTGTGTTCTGTCTCAACCAATTTATGTTAAACTTTGGTTTCGGCCCCTTTTCTTATGATCTGTTTCTACAAGAGAACCACTAATACTTTTTTTCCCCAATCAAACCATGAAAGTTGCATTTTGACCTTTTATATTACGACTTTTTATTAGCTCTTGTTACTTTATTCATTAAATATGTTCTTGTTATTTATATAAACATTAAACATTTGTTGTTTTTTCAAGTTTTTGGCAGATATACAAGTTGATGATGAAAACATTGTTCCAAGACCATCTACTAAAACAAGGTTGGTGTAAGTGTTGATGACGAGAACATTGTTCCAAGACCTTCAATGAGTTATGATGATGTCCCTTAATAGCAATGTAGTATTAGGTTATATAGTTAGGGATGATTATTTGTATTTGAGATGTTAGTGCAATGAATTATCTTTCATATTATTAATTGTATATGGTATTTTATTTTATATTATGCAATGGATTGTATTTTTTGTATATGGTATTTTATTTCTATTATGAGAGATTAAATGCAAATTTAATTTATAAATTAATAAATATATAAATATATATATATATATATATATATATATATATATATATATTTTAAAAAATTAAAATTACGATACGCAAAAATGTGTGTCGTCTTCATTTATGACATGGCCTTTCTTGACTAGTGCTTCCTTGATACGCATTGCGTGTCATAAACACGCGCGTCGTAAGGTTACGACACGCAAATGCGTGTCGTCTTCCTTTATGACAGGGCCTTCCTTGATACGCAATGCGCGTCATAAATGCGCGTCGTCTATAGACGACGCGCAAAAGCGCGCCATCTCTCTTTATGACAGGGCTTTCCTTGACACGCATTTGCGCGTCGTCTGAGCGTTTTACGACGCGCAATGAGCGTCGTAAAAGGCCTTTTTTCTAGTAGTGATTAATCCGATTATATGATATATTTGACTATAATTTTGATCTAATTGAAGATATTTATCAATTAATAAGATAATTCTTTCCTTATGTGATAATTGATTAATTATTTTGAGTAAATTGATAAATTGTTTTGCAAGAAATCATTAAATAAATCAAATATTGATAATTATGTGATTAAATGTTAATTTAGATTATTTGTTATTTGATCCTTGTTGTTATGAAAAGTTTCATATTTTCCCCTTTAGGTTTTATAGTTTAAATTTGAACCCAAAAGTTTTGAAGTTTTGAAATTTAAATAGTTAAAACCCTAATGTTTTGAAAAAGGTTTCAAAACTTGCCCTCAAGTTTTGGAATTTAAAAGTTGATTAAAAGTTAATTAGGAATGTTAAATTCTAAAACCCTAGTAATGTTTTGAAAAGTTCAATTCACACCCTTATGGTTTTATTAATTAATTAAGATGTATAATTAAAAAAAGTTTAATAAATCCATAAAAGTCTAGGTTTGCAATTTAATTGAATTAAAGGTATAATTGTTAAATTTCACCACCTAGTATTTTAAAAGTGTAAAATACACCCTATACTATATATATAACATTAAAAGTCTAACATTATATATATGTATGAGTAAAAGTCAGTCTTACCGTTAGTAGGCCTCATTCACGAAGTTGGTCTATAAGGCGTGTTTATAGAAATTGCCTATAATATGGCGATTGAATGGGTATCCACTCTTACCCACCGCACTCTTGACTAGTGGAGGGTCGTTAGCCGAACGGGTATGATAGGACGAAACCTTCCATTATAAGTATAATGAAATACAAAAGTAACTAAATGTTTTTACAAATTCCTAATCTTAGTTACTTAGGCAAAGTGAATTGATGCAATTCCATGAAATTACACTTTGTGCCCTTACGAAGACGTTAGTGGAGCGTGTGTGGTTTACCGGCACACTAAATGGTTCTAAGCAAAGGTAGCAAAGGGTGACTCAATGTTTGTCATAGTTCGGTGGAGCATGTGTGGTTTACCGGCACATCGAATAGGTGATTGTAACATGTGAAGGAACCATGTAAGTTTGCATGGTTATTCACACCCGCTTTGTGATCCTCGGCATCCCAGTCACAAACAAGAGGGGCATATCGAGATTTAAACATGTCATTGAAATGTTCAATGAATCTCAAAGGATCTAGGAGTTTTCATAGATTTAAAACTTAAATTTCTTTTTTGTTTTTCATGGTGGAAATTAGTGAATCGTCATTCACTTACCTTCAAATATTCTGCAACTAGATTACGACATCCCTTTTCTAGGTTGTAGTGTATTGTGTTGGGTCCTAGCCTTAGTATCTCATTTGGGTGATTTACTAAGGACTCAATCGATCAACTAACTTGAATTTGTTTTCTCCCATTTTGTAGATGTCAAAGTTCGACAACTATGGTCTTCCCAAATCCCGTGGAACAAGCATTCCACATGAAGATGGTATTCCACGATTTGATCGAGGAACAAGAAATCATGATTCACTTCCTCCACCTCCTTCAATTGTTCTCCCTAACCCACAAGATCGAAGAATTGAAAAGGTTCAATATCACTAAAGCCCTGTTGAAAATGAAACATGAAGATGGTAAACCCGTGTGTGCCCACGTTCTAGGAATGAAATCACACATTGATAGGTTGATAATGTTGGGTGTGTCATTCCCGAATGAGTTGGCTGTAAATTGGGTTTTGCAGTCACTTCCTGAATCATATAATGAGTTCAAAAGAAAGTATTATATGATGGATCATGACGACAACCTCATTGACCTAACTTACATGCTCATTACTGCTGAATCATAAATGATTTGGCGAAGCAATGGAGCGTATTTGTTGGGAGAGTCAACCGACCATGCTTCCAAGGAAGTTCCAAGAGAAGCGACCTGCGTTTGCTGCCAAGAGAAAGGGCGTTGGATAGAAGTCTGCCCCAAGAGCCTGAAAATTCCAAAGATGGGAGAGTCAAAGAGTATGACTGCGCATCAGGTAAAATCCACTATCTAACTTCGTTAAGTTCCTATTCATTGATTCAAAATACATGATGTAATAAGATTGCATTTGAATGTTTTGCAGGATCGGTGAAAAGAAAGGAAGCTTGGTGAAAGAGCAAGATGAATCTAATCACAAGAAATGGAACTTGATTGCATGGACTTGAAGATTAGATTTTGAGCTTAGATAGTTATGATAGAGTTGTTAAATTTTCCTTTTGAAATACATAGTTTTCAATAGATTTTGCATTGTAAGGACAAATGTTTTCCGTTGCTTTTATAAATAAAATAAATTTTGTTTGACTCATTCATTTATTTCCTTGCAATGAAATCATTATGAAAATTGATGTTTGCATATTTCTACAACAAATGAATATGATTCTTATTTATGGTGTTTATGGAAAAGTCGAGAATTTACCAAATAGGAAGAGTTTCTCAATTGGATAGAAATTTGGAATCACGCAACTTGGTTGCATGATGAATGAGAAATTTCATATTTGGAAACTAGACTAATTCATTGACAAAGTGTCAAGTGAAAGGACTAGGAGATCGAGCACACAAAGTTGTGTGTTGATCAAGTCCACCATAAGAGAAACAAAGATATTCGTCATGATTTACTAACGGTTTAGTAAATATGATTATACTTATAAGATTAAGTGTAATTCGGAGTTGATTAAAAGGGTTTAAATCAACAGCAAAACGAATAAGAAGAATCAAGTAGGCAGAAAGATAAAAGTTTCTCCATTCTAAGCAGAAAAGAGAGTACCTTTTATGCTTTATGATAGGACTTGATGATTAAAAACCATATCTTAATTGATCCTCTAAGTGAGTCTTAGTACAATTGTATGTTTAAGAAGAGGAATCAAGAATTGAAGAAATGGTTAAATCAAAAGGTCAATCATACTTCGTTCCAATAACAAGTCTTAAAGTTAAGATTGTGACAATGAGTGAAAAATATTAAGAAGGTTTATAACATTCATCAAATATGGAAATTTGTGATGTCTTGGATAAGACAAAGGCCAACTAGGACCAATTTATGAAGTGTTTTGATAAAAGCTACACTAACTCTTCAATATGTGGTTGTCAACAAATGTTTATTGACAAGAGAATCTTATATGTCAAGGAGTCAGTGGGAGTCTTAATGGTCTTGAAAGGTTTCAAGAACAAATCAAATGAACCTTATCGATCATCACTAGCACACGAGTTGAGGTTTACAACCTATCGTGCTGACATTATTTTGTTTTTGTGCCAATCCAAACGAGTTAATTATGCATGTGAGTTCTATGAGTTCTCATTTTGAACGCATAAAAGGCAAGACACCTTAATCAATGAAAGGTACATTGATAGGAAAAGGTGAGCTGCTTAACTACTTGGAAGACATGGTGGGCAACTGTGCTACCATAAGGCAAGAAATCAAGATTAAGAAAGTTCGGTCCATATGAGTTTGAATTTGTCGTAAAATCTGGTTTTAACAAATTCACATGGATAGGAACACATACACCGTTTAAATCTAAGTGTCATAAGATTTCCTCCTTCATGAAAATGATTGTGAGAAAATGCTTTCACTAAGAAAGATTTTAAGAAGATAGTGATTGTAAAATTGCATTCTCGAATTCGATTATGGTTACGGTATCCCTTTCCATAATTTGAATTGTGAGGTTTGGCAATTAGTCTTAAGTGTTTAGACACACATATGAACTATCTAAAGAAAAGGTGTATAAGTTTAAGAGGCCTTGATAAAAGATTATCAAAACATTAAATATTAGAAACATGGACTTAAGAAATTCAATAGGTATTGTTTTTCTGGAAGTTAAGATGTTTTGAAGACATATCGAAGCTAGTGGGAGCATAAGTGTTATGTTTTTATAGTAATCATCATGATAGTGGGAGCATAAAAGTTATGATTGTATGATTATTATGGAAAGTTTTGCAAGTTGGCAATATTAATTATAGAAAACAAGAGTTATACCTTGCAAAGTCGTAAGGGTTGTAAAGTTGTTTTGCTATAATTAAGGGAGAGAATATTATGCTTCATTTCAAATCTAAAGGATCAGGTTGAGAAATGTTGATAAATTTAGTCAAAGGTACATAGTGTGTTCTTAA